AAAACAGCTTAGTGAAAAGCGTTTACAGTTTAAAAGCAAATAGAAAGTCCTATTTTTTTTATTTCTTTTCTTTATATTTTTTTGCAGATTTGCACATGTACGAGGTTTAAACTGTTCATGAAATATTTTTTTAAAATATTGACGTTTTGAGCAGCTGCATGTTTGAGCAGCTGCATTCCTCTAGGTCAAAGATGAAAAAATGGGATTTAAAATAAGTAATTTACAAAATTATTTTGACTTGAGTTTATTTATTAACGAGTAACGTATCTTTTGAGTGAATGTGCAAATTTTTAATGTTAAGAGGTTTTACCATGTTATTACAACATTTAACCACTTTTTATTAATTTAAAAATTGAGAAATTCATTCAAATTTATAAAAATTGAGAAATTCTTTCAAATAAACTACAGCAAAAACCAGTTTGATGCATATTTTATAAATATTTTAGAAATTGTATTTGAATATTACCAGTAATAACTTCAATGGATTTCATTAAATTCCTTTGAACACAACTGCTCAAAACGGTCTAAATTTATGAAACCTACACATTCAAAACATTATTACTCTGAAATTTTTCATGTAAATGTTAAGTTTAAGTGAAATGTTAAGTACTGTAAGGTCTTTCATGACACTAAAATATGCTGGGGTGTGAATTTGATAGGTGCTTGATATAAAATAAATGGTGCTTTAAAAAGTCCTTGAAAGTCCTTAAATCTGGTGTTCATGAAAGAGTGGGAACCCTGTTTAATAATGTATCACTAAATGTTGACATTGACTAAGATTAAGACTAAGATAAATGCTTTAGAAGTATTTTCATTGTTCATTCATTCATGTTAACTGATGTAATGTTTACAAATGAAGCGTATTGTAAAGTGTTACTGTATGATCTTCATAAGATGAACTGCCATGTAACAACATGTAAAAATTAGATTTCTAAAATGAATGACTTCTATTCATTTTTCATAGCTCAACAGTACTAATTGTTTATTGTTTTTGTTGTTCATTTAGCCTATCGTTTCCAGTTATAGATGTTTATAAATATTTAACATCTTTATATGTCCATTCCACAGGAGAACGCATTTATATACATAAAAATAGCAAAACAACTGCAACAAAAATTGGCCTCAGAGCAGTTAAAGCTTTAAAGGCATAGTTCACCTGAAAATGAAACGTCATTTATTCACACTCATCTTTCTTCTATGAGACACAAAAGGAAACGTTTAGCGGATGTTCACGCTGCTCTTTTCCATACAGTAAAAGCAGACAGTGACCAAGAGCTTTCAAGCACCATAACAGTGATGCAAACAACTTTTGCACTAGTCTTCAGTTTGCACAAGTCCTATGTGTTGGAACATATGAGTTCAGAAGTCTTGGGATATTGTGCACAAATCATATGAGCTGTGAAATTGTGCTTTTTTGAAAGTTGAAAGTCATCACTGTACTGTATGTTTGAATTGCATGTAAAAGAGAAAGTAAGTTCCCTTTCATGGGAACTTCGAACTGCGTCCTCTAGGGGTCGCTATGGGGAACGCCTCGTCGTGACCCGTGTCTGAAGCATACATTGAAAAAACACCAACAACACGTTGGCCGGCGACAGCCATGACGTCACTACCGGTGCGACTATAGTATAAATAGGCACCGGGAGAACACATCATCCTCTTCTTCGTCTTCATTGACTGTTCTGTTTGAAGCGTGCATTTCCAAGGAAAAAGTAAGAGCTATCTCTAGAAGGTGTGTGCATCCATGTCATCGCTATTTGACACCCGATGAAAAAAAAAAAAAAAGTTAACTCAGAATTCAGAGAAAAAAGTCAAAATTACGAGATGTAAATTTGGATGTAAATCAGAATTCTGAATTTAAAATGCAATTCTGAGTTTATATATCAGAACAGGAAGAATAAAAGATGAAAAAAGTCACAGTTACCCTTTTTTTATTATAGAAAAAAGCTTCCATTGATTTATGCTGATTCTAAGCAATTTGAATTTGATAACAGTCAAACTCATTGTAGCGAATGTGCAAACAGGGGCCGCATGTACATGACTCTGGGCCCTAACTGGAGGGTTCCTCTCCGCGCGTCCCCCAGAGGCCGCAGCCATGCCCACAGGTACAAACCCTTACCTGGGTCAAAGGTCACCTCCTCCATTCCTCTGGGACATCGGGTTCACCTGTCTTGGCATGCAGCGTCTCCTCTTTAACATTCCAGTTTCCCTCTCTTTTCTGGTTTAGTCTGAAGACTGTCATGTCTGTCATCTGTTCTCTCTTTATCCAGACATCAAATTGTCATCATGTTTATAGTACAGAATGACTGTATTTATAGAAGAGAAAAGCTCTGTTCCGAAACCTAACCAGCTAACTTGCGGCCCACTGTCCTGTCCTGTCTACCTAGACGGCTTCCTTCTGATGCAGCATCCTAACTAGTGTGACACTGTACATGGACAGCATTCAAATAGAGCTTCAGTCATTTAGCACAGGGGTTTTCAAACTGAGGGTCTGTAGAAAAGTTTAGAGAAAAACGGCATAAAAAAGTGAAAATTAATAAATAATAAATAAATAACATTAAATAAAGAAACTGTTTAAAATAAATAATGACAATAACAATTAGGTTAAAGTAAACGAATAATAAAAAGATTAAAATAAAGAAAACATTTTGATTAAAAATAAATAAACCAACAATTTGTTTTAAAAAATAAATAATAAAAATACATTAAACAATAACAATTAGGTGAAAATAAAAAAATTGATTAACATAAAGAAATGAATAAGATTAAAATAAATAATAACAATTAGGTTCAAATAAATAAATCATATAAAAATAGATTTAATGAATTAGTGAATTAGATTAAAAATAAAAAAATTAAAAAAACAATTGATTTAAATACATCTAAACAGTACAGTACTAAAGTGAGTAGGAAAAACAGAATATAATGTAATATAATTAAATCTGATTTTAAAACCGATTATTTTTTTTGAGTGCAGAAATTTGACCTGTTTCTTACCTGTTTAAGTCATGTATGACTGACAAACATGCATCGCATTAAGTTTATTTTTTTATGTTAAAACTGTGAAATCAAATGGATGAAAATTTTATATGCATTTCAATACACAAATTTAGGCCTAAATATTAGTTTGAGTGTAGTATCCGTATCAGTCAAACTCATTGTAGCGAATGTGCAAACAGGGGCCGCATGTACGCGACTCTGGGCCCTAACTGGAGGGTTCCTCTCCGCAGCCATGCCCACAGGTACAAACCCCTGCCTGGGTCAAAGGTCACCTCCTCCATTCCTCTGGGGCATCGGGTTCACCTGTCTTGGCATGCAGCGTCTCCTCTTTAACATTCCAGTTTCCCTCTCTTTTCTGGTTTAGTCTGAAGACTGTCATGTCTGTCATCTGTTCTCTCTTTATCCAGACATCAGATTGTCATCATGTTTATAGTACAGAATTGCTGTATTTATAGAAGAGAAAAGCTCTGTTCCGAAACCTAACCAGCTAACTTGCGGCCCACTGTCCTGTCCTGTCTACCTAGACGGCTTCCTTCTGATGCAGCATCCTAACTAGTGTGACACTGTACATGGACAGCATTCAAATAGAGCTCCTCACATTCAATCATTTAGCACAGGGGTTTTCAAACTGAGGGTCTGTAGAAAAGTTTAGAGAAAAACGGCATAAAAAAGTGAAAATTAATAAATAATAAATAAATAACATTAAATAAAGAAACTGTTTAAAATAAATAATGACAATAACAATTAGGTTAAAGTAAACAAATAATAAAAAGATTAAAATAAAGAAAAATTTTTGATTAAAGATAAATAATCCAACAATTTGTTTTAAAAAATAAATAATAAAAATACATTAAACAATAAATAATAACAATTAGGTTCAAATAAATAAATCATATAAAAATAGATTAAATAAATTAATGAATTAGTGAATTAGATTAAAATTTTTTATTTAAATACATCTAAACAGTACAGTACTAAAGTGAGTATAAAAATAAATAAACCAACAATTTGTTTTAAAAAATAAATAATAAAAATACATTAAACAATAACAATTAGGTGAAAATAAAAAAATAGATTAAAATAAAGAAATGAATAAGATTTAAGTAAATAATAACAATTAGGTTCAAATAAATAAATCATATAAAAATAGATTTAATGAATTAGTGAATTAGATTAAAAATAAAAAAATTAAAAAAACAATTGATTTAAATACATCTAAACAGTACAGTACTAAAGTGAGTAGGAAAAACAGAATATAATGTAATATAATAAAAAAACGATTTAAAAATATTAAGAGAGATTTTAAATAAAAATTTAGAAATTGATTTAAATAATACATCTGAACAGTACAGGACTATAGTGTGTAGGAAAAATATATATATATAATGTAATAGAAACTAATTTTTTTCCAAATAACATTTTACACATATTTATAATAATAATTTTTAACACTTTATAAATATGTTCTTTATACATAAAAAATTAAAACTGCCTTTTAAAACATATTTGGGGGTCTGTGGCATCTGGAAAATTGAAAACCCC